CAGCAGAACCACACCCCAGCCAGAGGCAGAGGCTGCAGCCAGGGACAAGCAGGTCCCTGGGCTGTGGTGTCACTGGAAGGCTCAGAAGAGTGTGTGGTGGCCTAACTGCTTCCCAGGGGACCAAGGTGCTTGTAGAAGATCACACACCTACCCCTGTGAGCCATGCTCAAGGATAGGACAGCACAGACCAGTGGAAAGTGTGTGGGCATTGAGAGCTGGCAGATGGTAAGCCACGCCCCTCCCTGTGGGCGGGGACTCGCAGGGTCAGAGAAAACTGACAGAAAGGGGTATGCCAAGCCCTCTCCCTGGTGGGCGGGGACTCACAGGGACAGGGCGTTCCCACTCACTCCACTCCACTGTGACAGGGCTGGTCAGACTGGGATGCTCCACCTGGCAGGTATAAACCTCTCCACTCTGAGGAACTGTCTCCAGCATCACCAGGATCTGGAAGGTCCAGTCTCCATTCCGGATCAGGCCTGTGGACACGATCCCAGCCTTCTCCTCCTGGTCATTCTGGAACCATCTGACTTCAATGTGGCCAGGGTAGAAGCCGCTCACAGAGCAGACCAGGAGGTTGCGGTGCTCCAGGGGCTGTGTCTTTGTCAGGTACACAGTCACCCTGGGTTCAGCTAAAGGAGAAAGGGAGGTGAGAATAAGTCATGAGGGCAGAGCTGTCCTCCCAGGTTGGCTGTCTGTCTGCCTCAGTCTACCCGGAGTGAACTGATTTTGACATAGCTGTCCCAGGACTCAGAGTCTGTTTTCACACTTTAGCTGTCATCTACACTCCCTGGAGGAACCACCAACTAGAGGAGAACATTCTGGCAGTGAGAGAAAAGCTCATTTCCCAGCTGTGGTAATTTCCCCAACAGGTAAATTACACACATGTGTCCCTAGGTTCTGTCTCTTCTTGTTGGAAAAGTAAGGTTTCCAGCGAGCTGTATGTATGGTCTTGTAAAGCTCCCTACTTTTCTATTTATGATTTAAGGATTTATTTTGATACTAAAGGATCTTCAATTAAATTTTTGGTTTTTTTGTTTGTTTGTTTGTTTTGTTTCTTTTTCAAGACAGAGTTTCTCTGTGTAGCCCTGGCCATCCTGGAATTTACTCTGTAGACCATGCTAGCCTTGAATTCAAAGACTTACCTGGCTCTGCCTTCTGGTGCTGAGAGTAAGGCTGTACAACACCACTGCCCAGCTTTAAGAAAAGTTTTCAAGGGCCAGACTTAACAGGGATAAACTTATGAAGACCTAATTTTATAAAAGCTATTAAATTGTTCTAAACTGTTGAAGATAATTAAGATGTAAGTTAGTGGTCAGTAACGTCATAAATGATAAGATTGTTTAATCCATGTGCTTAGAAACACTCTCACAGTCATGCTGGGTACAATTAAATCCACTTACACAGACCAGCTCTAGTCAGCCTGCTGTATATGTCCTCAGGGTTAATCCTAAAGCAAGTAACTGAAAACAATTACTTTGTTTAAAGTCAGGTAGACTTGATACATGGTCCTCAAAATCCTCAGAGATCTGCTAAATTTGGCATGTTAAATGTTTCATTACAAAGCTTTCCATGACAGACAGGAGTGACAGCTCCAAGAGACAACCCTAAGTTCTCCAGGAAATCCACAGGGCATAGGCAGGTAACTCCTCCTGGATGGTGGTAACAACACCACTGGGCAAGGACTCTGATGATGTTGACAGCTAACTATAGCTTTATGGGTTGGCTTGCCCATCCCTGGAAAACTGCAGCTGCCTGCTCAGGCCATATATTATATAAAATCAGGCCTCACTTTATAGAGCCATTAGGTCTGCCGCTGAGAAAGGCAGACAGAACAGTTTACTTTGCTGGCTTCACACAGAAAGATAAACTCATAAAACAGGTCTCAATGTAACATCCTACTAACCCTCTACTTAAAGCACCTTGATTTGCAATGACTGTTGTTGTTAACAAACCATCTGTGTGCTGTGTCTTGTGGTATGAAAATAAAAGATTTGAAGTTTAATTGAGACACGAGGACCTAAGACAGTCATTTAAGCTGTATAAATGCAAGTTGTAAAGGCGGAAGGAGCCTTAGGAAAATACGAGATGTTTCAGATCTCCTTCCTCTCTGTGCGATTGTTACATTAAGACTTCAAAAGTTCAGAGTTTTAGCAGATGCTGTACTTGTGGTCCACACATTTAGTCCCAGCACTCTGGAAGCAGAGGCAGGTAGATCTCTGAGCTTGAGGCCAACCTTGTCCACAGGGAGAATTCCAGGACAGACAGAGCTATGAAGAGAAACTCTGTCTCAAAACAAAACAAAACAGAAGTTCAGAGTTGTAACATTAATCAATGGAGTTCTGATAAACTATTAATCCTGCTCTACCAAAGTATTGCTAATGTCATCATAGCCACAAGCTCAATATTTTAAATTTCCTTGGTTGTTTTCTAAGTATAGTCTTAAAAGTGTTTCTCATGCTGAAAACATCTCTGCCCTATCTATTTATATCTATCTCTCTCTAAATATTTGTGTGACCCTCTCTCTCCTCCCCCTCTCTCTCCTCCCCCTCTCTCTCTTTTCCCTTCCTCCCTCCCCCGTCCTCACCTCTCTGCAGCACAGTTAATAGCCCCACAATTGCATAGTTGAATCTGCAGAATGTGTCCACCTTGGCCCGCTTCTGCTCCAGGAAGCCCTCCTGGCTGTTCCAGTACTCGGCTTGGATCTTCCCCAGCTTAGTCACTGCTTGGTACTTGCCCATTTTGCTGTCAAATCGCAAGTGTTCCTCCTGGTTGTATATGTGTCTCTGCAAGTACCACACCCTCTCCGTCCCATTAGAGAAATGGCATTCACTTTTAACTTGTTGCAAGAAACGTGCTGTGGAGACAGGAGTGTCACCTGCTCAAGTGGCTCTCTCTCAGGGACCAGACATCCCAAATCCATCAGTCCCTGTATGGGTACCCAAACCAGCAGGGCATGAACGCCCTGGACCACCTCTGCCTACACTGCTCTCTCTCTCTCTCTCTCTTCTCTCTCTCTGTCTCTCTCTCTCTCACACACACACACACACGCACGAGAGAGAGAGAGAGAGAGAGAGAGAGAGAGAAGCTATAAAAGAAAAGAAAAGGACCCAAAATCTGGGAAAACCTAACTTCACTTCCAGAAAAAGCACAAATACTCCCACCCTTTCCTTAGCCCACCCCCTCTGCCAATTTTTTAGTCCTTGTCTATGACCTCCTGCTCCCAAATGTGTGGAGAAGTTGATGTGCCATTCCATCTCCCACTCTTAGCCAAGAAACATCTCTGCTGGGGCTGCCAAGATGGCTTAAAGGTAAAGCGTTGGCCTTTCAGCCTGAGATTCTGAGTTTGATCCCCAAAGCCCACACCTATAACCCTGTGATAGGGACACAGCGGAAGAGCCATGAGTCTCACAGGCTGCTAGCCTAGCCTACTCTGCTTGGTGAGCTTCAGAACTATCAAAGGGCATGTCCCCAAAATTAAACCTTCTGAAGAATGGCAGGGATGTCTCCCTCTGCCTTCAACTGCTCAAGAAGACAGGAATTGTTGCTACTCGCCCACAGTCTAGAAGAAAATAACTAACCAGGGGGGTTTAAAACAAGACAGAACAATCCTGCCATGGCCAACCAGAACGGACTGGTAGTAACACTTGCAGTCAGGTCACCTTCTCAATGGCCAGCACCCAAATGGGTGCATCGCTGCTATTTCAGAGCCAGAGAGACCCATGGAGAAGGGACACCTTCTGAACCTGGGGCAATAGTGTCCTGAGCTCAACCTGAGGGCTACAATGGAGACCACACAAAATCCTGCCCACCGCTGTGCCTCAGCGTGACCCCCACCCCCATTTCATACTCAAACCTCTTCACCCTTTCTAGAATATTCTGTCAAATGCTCCATAGGACTGGCCATGCCCAGCCTCCTCCAAAGAGGAGAAAATGACCTCTCCTCACTTCTGCACCTACCCAGCAGTTCAGCCCCTGACCAAAGCCACCCGAGGGCTCAGGGCCATCAGGGTCGGGACCACAGCTGCCACACAGGAGCGTCTGGGGAGCCAGGGACCCATCATGGTGGAGGATTGGATGGTGGTCTCCCACCCTGGAAACTATCTCCCGTATCTGTCTACACCCAGGTCAGCAGAACCCGGGGATCCACTGCTTTGGTACTGTGTTGAGTAAAGTCAGTACTGGGGAGCCAATCAGTATCAGATGTGAGCAGCATCATCAGTTGCTAGCTAGAAATTCAGTATGAGGGTCCTCTTTGGAAACAGAAATTTCTTTTCTAGTTAGTTTTAATACTTGATCCAGTTGCAGTTGAAACATTAATCAGATCACAGTGCTGAACCAGCTCTGCTGTGGTCCGTAATTCATTCATCACTGTGAGCACTGGGGGAGCGATCACCTCCTACACAGGGCTGTTGGCACGACTGTGTGTTTGGAATTTGTGGGAGCAAAGGAGGTGACTGGAGATGACAGCAAGCCAGGAACCTTTAGCCTTGCACTTACTGCCCCTCAGGTTAATGATGGAGATGACAAAGGTGATGCAAGTTTGTCCACTTCAGGTGAAGTCACCACCATCTCAAGTTCCCTAGAGCTGGACAAGGCTGTAGTGTTGCAGACATCTCCAGGAGCAGCTTCCCCTAGTAACAGATGATGTGGCAGAATGCTGGCTCCTGATTGGACATTGGAATCTGCACTTCTTCAGTTAGGGAAAAGTCTGACAAGTCATGGTGCAGTCCTGGCCTGCGGGGAAGGGGGTGTTCCAGCCCTGCCCCTGGACTGTTGTTGACTCCAGAAGCTCAGTCGGGGGTCCCTGTTGTATCCACAGCCCACAGATGACAGCAAGCCAGGAACCTTTAGCCTGGCACTTACTGCCCCTCAGGTTAATGATGGAGATGACAAAGGTGATGCCAGTTCATCCACTTCAGGTGAAGTCACCACCATCTCTCACGTTCCCTAGAGCTGGACAAGGCTGTGGTGCTGTGGACATCTCCAGGAGCAGCTTCCCCTAGTAACTGATGATGTGGCAGAATGTCGGAACCTGATTGGACATTGGAATCTGCACCTCTTCAGTTAGGGAAAAGTCTGACAAGTCATGGTGCAGTCCTGGCCTGTACTGGGGTGGCTGGCGGGTTGTGGGTGGAAGTGTTCCAGCCCTTCAGTAAAACACACTGCGGTCAGAGGCAGAACTGCTGTGGATGCTCAGGGAGGGAACTGGAAGTCTCATAGCTGTGAAGATTATAACCTGTGGGGAAGATAATTGTATGGGGATGTGTACCAGGCTCTCTTTTGTGCCATAACCAGCTCCCAAATTATGACATGGTGACTTATTATTAGTTATGAATTTTTAGCCTTTGCTCTATTCTTATTTTCGTCTGTTTCTCTTTATCTACATTTTCCTTGAGGTATTTTACCTTTCTTTCTGTGTGTCCTACTTTCCTGCTTCTTGTGTCTGGCTGGCAGCTGGCCCTGGACGTGTCCCTCTCTTTCCCCTTTGTCCTCTCCAAGGAGGGAAGGGAGAGGAAATTGGTTCTGAGGGGCCACAGGCTATGGCAGTTAGATCTGTGAGGCTTTTGTGTCAAAGGCAATGGAGCCACAGCTTCTCTGCATTGTTTTCTTCAGAGAGCCCCAGTGCCCAGCAGCTGATAGAGTCTGTTTGGCATTCTCCATAAGGTCCTTAGGGACAGTTGTGAAGACCAAGGGACTCCTGGGAGGTCACTGCCCCCCCCCCCGAGATCCCTCCACCTGGATGATACTGAGTACCTGCAGCCTTGTTCTTTGCCTCCAGTAGCAGCAGGTACCCTCACAGCGCAAGTCTCCCTGTCACCACACCACAGAACAGGGTCCCTTTTTAAGCTTTTGATCACACTGGTAAAAGATTTAAAAACCAGACAAGAGAAACTTGAACTGAAGCTTGGACACCAAGCTGAGGTAGCAATCTATTTTATAAAATAGATTATGCCACCAAATCCTAATTCTATCATGTTTTGCTATTACCACAGTCAAGGTTATATAGTTGAGGGGCTGGAGAGATGGCGTAGCTAATAGGAGCACCTGCTGTGCAAGCATGGGTTTCCATTCCAGCACCCACGGACCAAGCCCGGTGTGGCCTGTGCACCTCTAACCCCAGCAGGGACTGGAGGATCGCTGGGGCTTTCCAGCTGCAGATGTAGCCTAAAAAACGGAACTCAGGAAAGACCCTGACTCAGGTGGAGAACGATGAGGACACCTTCATGTGGCCTCCACACACCAGCACACATACATAAACACACTGAGCTCATAACTCACACACATACACCATACAAGTCATGTCGTAATAACTTTATAATGGGCCCGTGCCAAGAGAAGTTTTAACAAAACTTTTAACTTACTATTGATAATCTAGTGATTTAAATTTCTAGGTATGAAACTCTCTAAATAGCTTCCTCATAAAAATTAGTAAGGGATTGTAACCCTCAGGATTGAAGTAAAACAATGTAAAACAGTACTGCTGAGTCCTGAAGGCTGGGCATCTGATGCTAGAGGGCAGCCCTTCTCTGCTTACCCTAGCTAGGAAACACCTCTTCAGACAGCAGGCCTTCAACACTGAAGGAAAGCATGGCTTTGTGCAAATCACATGGACTTTGTGGTCAGAAACACAGCCATTTGTTGGTAGGGTAACTTCGGTGTCTGCCATCTTGAAAAGTTACTGTGGGTAATAAAGATTAATGGGGGGTATGTAGGTTACTGAGGGTATGAAGGTTACTGGGGGTATGTAGGTTACTGGGGGTATGAAGGTTACTGGGGGTATGAAGGTTACTGGGGATGTATGAAGGTTACTGGGGTATGAAGGTTATTGGGGGTATGAATATTACTGGGGGTTTCTTGTATGCTTTTAGCTGCTACTGCACAACCTTGGGACTAACAGACTTAGCAAGAGGTGCTTAGTACTTTGTTACCAACCCAGGTGGCTTAGTCTTGAGTACCACACACCTCCCAAATCTGACATCTGCCTCAACACCTTGGCTTCCCTTGTTATCTTCATTTGAAGGCTCTTACTTTTAAATATAGGAAATTTTTACCTTTTTAACAACATTTGAAACATTTAAAGCTACTCTGCTGAAGGTTCCCAACATGAATAGACACAATCTCTAGAGCCAAAGTGTCCAGACTATAAGAAATTAATGTAAAGGCTGACAACATGAGTTTCATTTGTGAGTTCAAGATGCACCAGAGTGTTCTTAAATCTGGCCTCTTGGAAGCCCTTACCTCTAGGAACTTCCCTTGTCTCTCATGAGTTCTGAGACTTTGTTATGACACTGATTCCGGAACATTCACAGACCATATCCTGCTTAGGTCCAATGACCCTAAGCCACACAATTCCTGGGAGACCCTCTGCACCCTTGTCTACAAGGGTCTCCCTGACACTCAGGATCTCACAGCTCAGGGACTGTGAGCTTGAGGCATTTGTTTTATATTGATCTCTCTCTGACAAAAGAATCCAGATGACGTGGAACTCACTGAAGACACTAACTGAAAGATGGCAGACATGGGTGAGAGCCAGCTTCCTCCCTGGCATTTCCTTCATACCTACTTTCTCAAGTCCTGTCTTGGGGACACTAATGCAACTGGCTTTCTTTCTTACCTAGTGTCTTTCAACCCTAATATCCATCCTTTCATTCTGATGGATTCCTCTGGGAAGCTGAGGGAGGTTGCCCATGGTCACCTCCTCTCTGGAGACAGAGTAACCACTGTCCACAGTGCAGGGGCATGTCATAGCTTCCTGCATCCTTCTTGCACAATCTGCCTCAGCACTGAGAAACAGGGGCTTGATTCCTTTTCCCCATAGGGGATGACCATCTTCCAAACACCCACCCTAAGAGCATTTAAGACACCCAGCAAAGGGACAGCTGCTCTCTGGGACTTCCTCTGAGCCCACCATCTAAGTTTATCTCACTTCCACAAGAGTTTAACACTCTCGTGGTGGAGACTGGCTGCTGACTTTAGAGGTACATTCAGAGCAAACCTCTAAATGCAAAGGGTTTGGCAGCAGAATTTTCTCACATTGCCAAACATCTAAAAAGAGTAGACAGATGCCAGTTGCCGTGGTGGGGTTGCATCTCTAGGTGGATTTCCACTCATGCTTTTTGGAAGTAGCCTTGTTTGGAAAATAATCTATTTTCTTAGTCATTTGGAGTTTGATATTCTTTAGTGTTTCCACTGTAGTGACAGACTTGTAGTTGCTATGGATGTGTCCCCCATTCATCATCTTTTCTGCTCTGTCTTAAATATCAAATGCAAATCAATCATATAGCTATACAGACAGTCTTCCAGTCTCTGTGACAAAGTTCACAAACTTATTCTATCATTCGGCTCAGTGGGCAATGACTCCAAGGCCTTCCTCATTGATAAGAAATGTCTGCACTCACACACACTCACGTTAATATCATTACCTTCAGACAGCATCTTCCCAGGGCCGTCACAACCTGTGGTTGCTCATCAGTGCAACAATAAGTTGCTATATATGGATAGCTGCAAATATTTAGGAATGTACAAATACACTAATATTTATGTTTTAAACAAAATGGGAAATGTATGCATAAAAGGTGAAATTATACATACAAAGAGAGAAGTTCTAAGTCCTCAGAGGACTGCTTTGCCAGACCACTGATCTCCCCCGACCTTTTCCTGCTTCACCTGAGGGGCTCCATGGAGGAGCAGGTCCCTCAGATTGCCCCGATTTTAAGCCAGGGTTACAGCAGCCAGGGCTCTTACAGAGCCAAGAGAAAAAGCCTAAGAGCTAAAACTGGGCTGGGACAGGAGTGGCAGACGCTGGGCTTGGCTGTTCGGCTTGTAATCCCAGTGCATGGAAGGCAAAATTTGCTAAAGAGTCGGTAATCAGAGCCAGCCTCGGTTACATAGTGAGTGCAAGGCCAGTTTTGGCTGTGTGAGATCCCATCTTATGCAACAATCAATTAGTGAGTTGAGGAAGAAAGGGGAGGGACAGAACAGTGTGATGGCAGCAGTGGTTTCTGGGTGGACCAAAGTCTATAGGTGTCCCTTTGTTTCAGATATAATTCTAGCTATCCTC